AAGCCTTTCTGAGGGCCAAACAAGTGGTGCAGAAACACCCAAGGATTCTCTATTCACTTCAGAGTCAGTTTCATCACCAACCCCATCAGCACTAGCCGCTGAAGATGGATGAGAAAACCTACCACCCCATCTCCTTGATCTCTTTGGTTTGACCTCAGCATGATGCTCATCAGCAGAAGTTGAATCTCTGCTTCCATCTCCATTAGCATTTTCATTGTCATCAGACTCTTGAGGTTCAGAAGTTCGATGTTTTCTCCCCCCGTGATGGCGACTTTGTGATCTCCTTACAATTGCAGATGCAGTGGCTCTAACTGTTCGTTTCTTACCAGCAACTTCAGATTGCCGGCGCAAAGTCTGGGCAATGGAAGCTTGAATCTGATGCAAATTTTCAGATTAGAATTTAATTAATTGCTTTAATTTATTAACCATCACTTTATTTATTTATTGTATTTAAGAAAGGGGGCACAAAATACATGGATGCATTTTGACTGCGAAGGATACTCTAAGTTAGCATATAGGCACAAAGACTGGAGTAAGTTAGCAATCTGATACTTCACCTGCTTATTCCGAGCTTTCTCCTCCTCATGAAAAGCCAATTCCTAAACCACATAGTTAGTGATGAATTATTGAGTTTCAATAATAACAAAGCCACAATTTGCACTGTAAGAGATCAGCCAAACTTTACCTCTTCCTCATATTTGTCAATATCCGGATATAAGGCTGCAATTAGGGCATCATAGTTAGGATCATCTCTTAGAGACCGGCGACTAGCACAATGTGTGCGGCAAGCAGGGCACTCATTGTTCCTGCCATTAGATGCAAGAAACATTAACAAGTAGAAAAAGCTTATGAGCTCACAAGTCACAGTTAACCATGGAACTTTATAAGATCATCCCAAACCAAAACCAGGTCAGGAAATCTGATCCCACATTACAATGAACTACTGAGAAGAGTGGAAATAGTTTGAACATACCCCATTCTCATAGATTTGTCAATACATTCTCTACAGAAGCGATGTAAGCATTCCATTACAGTTCTTGTTTTGCGAATGATCCCTTAAAAAAAGAGATAATGAATTTTCTTTTAGCAAAACTTGATGCTTATGTTATGTGTTATACACATAATATTGTTTCAATAAGAGAAAATGTGAAAACAGAATCATCCACCTCATTCTAAGTAACTTTCTGTGAAACTTGATTCTACTTTTTCAGATATGTTGAGCAATCCAGTAGTATCAACACCTGATATGATAATTAGATACTTGGAAAGCTATTAACTTAAGTTTAACAACATCTTATGGGAATAATTTAATTCATTTCATCTTTTTATCTGCCGTTTTGGTTGCCTTGTATGAAAAGAATGAGAAGCCATCCTCAGCCCTTGAGCAAGTTTCAGAATTCTATGCTCCTATGTTCAGACATATGGTCCAAATTCATAGATTAAGTCACTCAATTCAGTCTCAAAACAAGTGAGAAAGGAAATTTTAATATTTGGGTACTTTGAACAGAATGTCAGGCTTTTTTTTTTTGTTATTTTTTGGTTTTAGGGTAACAAAATTATCTAGCCAGATCTTACAATATTGTCAATTCACCATCTGGTATTTTACAGATATCACAATAAAGTGTTAATTATCCCCACTTCTTTTTCTCTTTCTGTTCAATGGCTTACATTGTCCATTAATACATTTCAAGTAAAAAATACAATAATTCATTCCAATCGATGTAACCAATGTAAAAATCTTTTTTTTTCTTTTTTTTGTTATATGTTTTTCAACAAAAATTAGGGGTCCAACTGCTTCTGAATATGAAAAGCTACAAAGCTGAGATATCAGATTTGCAAGCAAAGTATAATGAGGTCTTGGGCAAGCATGAAGTGACCTGCAAAGGCGTTTGATTTGATTTATTTGAGTAAGGTCTGTATGGTAGCATCTTCAACTAAATAGGTGAAATGTTATTGAGTTTGATTTTTTTTTTTAAATATATGGTTTTAGCAGGTCTTAGCATAAAAGTAGTTCAAAAAAGAAATGCTATTATGTCCATTATCACAGCAAAATGTACCCAGCTCCATAACAAGAATAACAAGGAGATAATTAAATTATAAAACACTTGCGGAACATAAAACAAGAAAATCATAATGCCAAATAGCAACTAGAATCTGTAAGCCCTATGAAATTTAATATATTAAACAAAAAATTCTCGAACAACATACCTAGGCAGATTGGGCATTGTACTTCTTTGCGTATGTCAGCCGATTTTACTAGAATATACCTACAATGAAACACAAGGGAAGCATTGTTAGCATATTATGCAGTTAACAAGTGATATATAGTTCACCATTCTATTTCTCTTTTCATCCTCAAGTAAAAGTGTAAACCTTTTTGCAAGACATGTAAACAGTAAATACGCTAGCCAAATTGATTGGATAACACCTTTGCGAAGTTAAACCAATATACATCCTTTCAATTAATTAGATTTCATCCTCAAACCTGTTTAACTTGAATTCCATTTACAAGGCTATGTCTATGCATTAATCAAACGCAACTCATAAACCACAAGGTTACTGCAATACTGCTCAGCAAATTTAAATGATTATCAATGCAATTGTCCAAACTTTAAGAATTATTGCCTCTGCAGAAGAAAGGAAAAACACTGGAACTTTTGAGAAAAGTAGCATTTATAGACAAATAAGCCCTTTCTCAAGAGAATAATACTATAAGGAATTAACCAATATAGTGTAAGGACACCATTTTTCATCCTGAAGAAGCACACTATAAAGAATATTAACACTATTATTGAACAAGGACGCAAATATCAAAGACCATCAATGGGAAAACATGAACAAGTGGACATCTTATGATACATCTATGAAGATTAATCAGAAACCACCTATACATCAGAATTTCTAACTATTTTAAGTAAGAAAAATGCGATCCCAACATTAAAGCATCCTAGCAGTTGACTGTCATATCATCACCACCTCATGAAGTTAAGAATTACATATTTTGGAACAATGACAAACATTTTGACAGGAAGATCAATAATGACACCACCACGGGAAAATATTTGCTTTCCCAAGCAGTAACTGTCAAATCAAGACAAGCTAAGAAACCAACAGGGACACCTCTGTAAAATTGCAACTACAGCTTAACAGCAACCACTTCAGTTTGAATAAAGAAGATAAATTCTCAAAATATATAGTATATTTTGATACAGTAACTGTTGTTTCGACCAAAGTACTCCAACAGTGTAGTGTCATCATGCACTGATCATATAGTAGCTTACCACAAACACCACGATATAAAGACCAAGAGAAAGATCCCAGAACAAAGCAGAGGCAGCT